TAATTAATTTATAGCATTATTCTAGAATGAATTTTTGGTATAGAGTAAATGTATTGCAATACATTATATTTTATATTTTCTATTATTCTGTAATTGATATGAATTCAATTATTTATATCATTATTCCAGTCCATAATTCTAACTAATAATTAATTTATATCATCATTCTAGCATGAATTTTTGGTGCAGAGTAAAAACCACCCTGCTAAACACACTTGAACTGAACCTTTCTCCCAATCCATTGGCAGCCCGTCCCGACAGAGAAGGAGAAGAGGAAGAAAAGCGACGGCAGGAGCAGAAAGGTGGAGGAGAAGCACCGAGTGCGCGAGGCGTGGAACAGCTTCTCCTACTTCCCCGAGATCACGCACGTCGTCATCAGGGACTGCACGGTCAGCATCAACAAGCAGGACAACAGGAGGATGGTGAGCAGGGCTGCGGGGCACGCTGCGGCTCACCCGGGGAATTCGGCTGTCCCCTCACCCTGGCGGCTCAGCTGCCCTGGAAAAGCCTCCGGGTTTCGTTCCCGGGTGGGTCACTTCATTCCCGGGTGGGTCACTTCATTCCCGGGTGGGTCACTTCATTCCCGGGTGGGTCACTTCATTCCCTTGTGGATAATTTCATTCCTTGGTGGATCATTTCATTCCCGGGTGGATCATTTCATTCCCGGGTGGGTCACTTCATTCCCGGGTGGATCACTTCATTCCCTGATTGATAATTTCATTCCCTGTTTGATAACTTAATTCCCTGGTGGATCACTTCATTCCCTAGTGGGTCATTTCATTCCCTGATTGATAACTTAATTCCCTAGTGGATAATTTAATTCCTTGGTGGATCACTTAATTCCCTGAGTGATCATTTAATTCCCTCGTGGCTCATTTCATTCCCTGATTGATAATTTCATTCCCTGGTGGATCACTTAATTCCCTGAATGGATCATTTAATTCCCTGATGGATCACTTAATTCCCTGGTGGATCATTTAATTCCCTGATGGATCACTTAATTCCCTGACTGATCACTTAATTCCCTGAATGGATCATTTAATTCCCTGATGGATCA